GAGGGACCTGGACAAGCTTGAGAAGTGGGCCTGTGTGAACTTCAAGAGGTTCAACAAGGCCAAGTGCCGGGTCCTGCACCTGTGTCAGGGCAACCCCTGGTACCAATACAGGCTGGGGGATGAAGGGATTGAGAGCAGCTCCGCCAAGAAGGACTTGGGGGTACTGGTGGATGAAAAGCCTGTCGTGAGCTTACAATGCGCGCTCGCAGCCCAGAAAGCCCACCATATCCTCACTGCATCAAAAGGAGTGGGGCCAGCAGGTTGAGAGAGATGATTCTGTCCCTCTACTGTCTCCTCTATGAGTCTTATGAGGAACGAATGAGGGAACTGGGGTTGTTGAGCCTGGAGAAGAGGAGGCTGAGGGGGGAGACCTTATCACTCTCTACAACTACCTGAAAGAAGGTTGTAGAGAGGCGGAGGCTGACCTCTTCTCCCTGTTGACAAGTGATAGGACGAGAGGAAATGGGTTCAAGTTATGCCAGGGGAGGTTTAGATTGGATATTAGGAAAAAATTTTTCACTGAAAGGGTTACTAAACATTGGAATAGGCTTCCCAGGGAGGTGGTGGATTTGCCATCCCTAAAAAAGGGTAGGTGTGGTACCTGGGGACATGGTTTAGAAGTGGTTTTGTCAGGGTAGGTTAATGGTTGGACTTGATCATCTTAAAGGTCCCTTCCAACCTCAGCAATTCTATGATTCTACTCTACCCTGGTGAGACCCCACCTGGAGCACTATATCCAGCTCCGGAGCGCTCAGCACAGGAAAAGCCTGAATCTGTTGGAGGGGGTCCAGAGGAGAGCCGCAAAAATGATCAGAGGGATGGAGCACCTCTCCTGTGTGGACAGGCTGAGAGATTTGGGGGTGTTCAGCCTGGAGAAGAGAAGGCTCAGGGGAGACCTTATTGTGGCCTTTCTGTACTTAAAGGGGGTCTACAGGAAAGATGGGGACAAACCTTTTAGCAGGGCCTGTTGTGACAGGAGAAGGGCTAATGGTTTTAAACTGAGAGAGTGTAGATTCAGATTAGATAGAAGGAAGACATTTTTTTACGATGAGGGTGGTGAAGCACTGGAACAGGGTTGCCCAGAGAGGTGGTATGTGCGCTGTTGCTGGAAACCTTCAAGGTCCAGTTGGATGGGGCTCTGAGTAACCTGATGTAGTTGAAGATGTCCCTGCTCATTGCAAGGGGGTTGAACTAGATGACTTTTAAAGGTCCATTCCGTCTCAAACTGTTCTGTGAGTCTCTACAGATTAATCTTTTTTCTACTTCGCAGGAACTATAAAAAAGGAGGAGATGGTGGGTGAGCTTCCTCTATAGACAGTTTGTCACAAAGTAGTGCAAGCCTTACCACTTCCCAGTTGCTGACACAGAGAAAAACGTTCAAGGTAGAAAGGTGTGATGAGGCTTTCTTGTGCGTGAGTGATACCTAGATGTCCCAATTGTATCACTTGATTGTCAGCAGCTATTGTAACTTAAAGTTGTGACATTCAATCTAGAAGACATTAGTCTTGGAATAGGGACAGGCAAAGTCTTTTTGAAGATATTACTTTCCTGTCCTACTTTCTGCTTTTAGTGCATATAGTGCAAGGATATATTACTGTAAAGAAATGGGACTTTTTAAAAGGTGCATTAGTTGTAATCTCAAAAATCTCAAACTCTTGAGAGTTTGAATGTACACAACAGAAATCTAGTTCAAATTTAATGGTTTTTGCCTTGGGAGAGAATTAGATCATAGTAATCATTGAATATACATTATTTCTTCTAGGGGATGTATAATTTCTGACTTTACTGGTAACTCTTTTCTCTTTCATTTAGTATCTCCAATCTGGGCATGTTTGGTGTCAATGATTTCACTGCAGTCATAAACCCTCCTCAGGCCTGCATCCTGGCTGTGGGCCGAGCAAGACCAGAGCTCAAGATTGTGGAAGATGAAGAAGGGAATGAGAAACTTAAGCTGCATCAACTCATGACAGTGACTCTTTCAAGTGATGGTCGGGTGGTAGATGATGGACTGGCTTCAAAATTTTTGGAGACCTTGAAAGCCAACATAGAAAATCCAATGCGACTTGCCTTGTGTTAAACTCGGTGAAGAGTGCTTCTTGTTTTGACAACATAGATAACTGTTGTTTTTCTGTTTAGAGGAGTAAATAGTTACTGTGAGATGGATAGTTAAAATATTTAAGTTACTGAATTAACGTGCAAAACTATTCATTTTCATGCTTTTAGTCTTTTGCAGTGACCAGGTTTTATACTGTAATGTTAAAAAGACTTTAAAGTTAACATACTACATTTCTTTAAACACTTAGTACTAATGGCACATAACATTTGCATAGAAAAGTTAAGCTCCACTGTAAAGGAAAATTCGAGAAAACTTTATTAAATTTAAAAAGGAATTATAGAATACTTTGGGTTGGAAGGGACCTTTAAGGGTCATCTAGTCCAATTCCCCCTGCAATGAGCAGGGACATCTTCAACTACATCAGGTTGCTCAGAGCCCCATCCAACTGGACCTTGAAGGTTTCTAGCAACAGGGCGCTTACCACCTCTCTGGGCAACCTGTTCCAGTGCTTCACCACCCTCATCTTAAAAAAAAAAAATTTCCTTCTATCTGATTTGAATCTACCCTCCTTTAGTTTAAAACCATTAGCCCTTCTCCTATCACAACATGCTCTGCTAAAAGGTCTATCCCCATCTTTCTTATAGGCCACCTTTAAGTATTGAGAGACCGCAATAAGGCCTCCCCAAAGCATTCTGTTCTCCAGGCTGAACAACCCTGACTCTCTCAGCCTTTCCTCGTAGGAGAGGTGCTCCATCCCTCTGATCATTTTTGTGGCCCTCCTTTTGACCTGCTTGAACAGATCCATGTCTGTCTTGTACTGAAGGCTCCCGAGCTGGATGCAGTACTCCAGGTGGGATCTCACCAGAGCTGAGATGGGATGCTTTATTTACGGGCTAAATATGTAGCTTTTAGAGTGAGGAAAGCAAAAATCATAATTGAGCAAAGTAATGCTATGAGTCCTGGTCAATACTGAGATAGCCGAGTAGCTAAATTATATTGCTGCAATAGGACATTCTGATTTGTATTTCATTTACATCACAGGTTTAACAGGTTTTTTATCTTCTCCTTTACTGTAAGCTACATTGAAGAAAACAAGGTGACTGTGGAGGTGAATGGGGAAAAGAAATGAGAGGAAATTCTGAGGCTAAATTAGTTCATAGATTAAAAAAAATAATTTCTCAAAATAATAAGCCATCTGGTGAAATCCACAGCTTCATTTGTATAATTACAACTCATTGTAACCCATTTAAACTGTCGGTGTATCTATTGTTTTCAGTATTTTAAGTTAACTGCATAATCTAATGCCTTCCAGAGAGGTAGAGAGGAGAATAAACTTGTCTGAATAAATGCATTCTCTGTAAAGGATGGAATCTCAGCGTGGTTGACTTATAGTTTTTGGTGGAACCAACATTTAGTAAAAAAACAACATTGTGTGGTTGTGGTTTTCTTTTTTTAAGAAAAAAAAATGGTTTTCTTCAATTTAATTTGGAGACAATTACTTTTTTTAAATTTACAAGTTGCCTCAACTCAGATGTGTTCTTCAGTACCCCATTTTTTTTTTTTCGGGTACTTTGTGATATGTTGTGGTTAACTTAAAAGCCAAGTTAATTATACCAGCAGCACTGTGATGAAGAACTAGCTTTCATCTCTTAATCTCATAGAGGTTCCAGTGTGAAAGGTCAAATTTTGCACAAGTATTTGCTGATTAGTGCTGTGCTTTGCACAGATAGAATAAAGATGTAAGTAGAAAGTGTTCCATTATCAGTGTATGTTGAATTATAACTTGAACGTGAAGTGCAGTGGCCTGAAGTTTAAATTAACAGAAAAATATTGGTTGTGGGCTTTTTCTTTTATATAAATATGGAACCATGTATAGTATGTGTTTGTAATGAAATAACTGCATTTACAGGACCTGGTGAGAATATAAATTGTCAGTAGAATTCTGGGAGTTTGTCTTATCCTTGTTTGTGCAAGTACATTTTTTAAACATTTGGAGGACTTGTTTGTTGAGCTGTTGCCATACTTTAAAAGCTAATTGCAAGACAAATTTTCAGTTAATACGGAGTTGAGAGTTTTTGCTAAATGAGTTTGCTTGTTTGGCTTGTTCATCTAACAATAGAGAGAGATTTTCCTTACCAAATCTAGTTTACTGTGCAATACTGGACATATCAATTCTGCGTTTCCAGGAGTTTCTCACTGATAAATAATATTTGAGTTTGGGTGCTGAAGGTTAATTTACAATTTTCAATGGTTAACCAATATTTTTTTCCAAAGTTGTTTGTCAATCCCATGTTACTTTGAAGAGGAAAAAAAACCACACCAATTTATATATTGTCCTTAATAATGTACACGAAGTTCCCATTGTTTGCATAGCTAGATCTGCTCTGTACAAGAGAATTTGCAGACTAATTTAAAAATCTGATTAAAAAAAAAATATATCTTTTCTTCATTGTTGTGCTTGGTGCTCTAGTGGTGTTGTGTGCTCCCCAGCATTTGTGTATTCTGCTCTTTAGCTGGCCACAGTTAAGGGCTGCATGACCGATATGGACAACTTTAGTTTTGCTTGTATGTGTGTTCATGTAGAGCGAGTCAGTATGTTTTGCTTTTGGAACCACTCGAGGGCGCTATTGTATGTAAGTATGGAATGTTTATCATGTCTCATTCTTGGGGGTACCAGTACATCCATTATAGTTTCCCTGCTCGACACAAACAGGTGAAGACAATGCAACTTTTTCTCCAGGTTAAACAAACCTTTACAACTCTTGAACTAGGCAGATCTCAGTAAGGCTTTAATTCCAATTTCTTTACATCAGCCTACTTGCCAGCATTGTCATTTAACATAAAGTTGGATGTATGTGACTTTTCAGTCATCAGCCTGTGAAGGTAATCTCTGGAATTCAGGTATGTGATAGCAGTCACATTTCCTTAATTCAGAGTAATCGTACTATTTGGCAACATCTACCGCTATAGCAAAAGTGGGACAACAAATAGTTACCCATACATATTTCAATAAAACACTGAATATTTTCCTGAAGAATTTAGGGATTTGGGGTTTGGGACAATGGATAAAATGACCTAGAAAGTTAACCATACTGAAATGGTTATGCTTACATTTGAAACAAATTTGCCTTGAAGTAAAAATTTCACAGAAGAAAAATAGAACTTTTCACGTTTTATTCTTTCGGATGTCTTCTGCTAACATCTTTTTTACATGTCTAAACAAGAAATACTTTGAAGACATGTACTTTCTTGAAGAACTAAAAAAAAAAAAAAATTAAGGAGTATGCTACTGTTTGCCTTTAGGATATACTTGGGGAAAATTGCTTTCTTCATATCATTTTCCTTTGCAAGAGGTATAGTTAGAAAAAAAGTAAAGGGTAGCCCTTTTGGACTTTATGATTGTTGGCAAGTATTGCACTGTGTGTCACACTTTAATCCCTAATTACACTGTCAGAATATTTGACTTTTTTGGATCTTTTTTCCTGCAGTGTATTCTCTATGAAATAAAATTTCTGTAATTAGTCTTTCTACATGTAATCCTTGAAAGAACCTTACTTCTGCAAAGTGAATGCTCAGTGCTATTCTAACCTAATCCTTTTGTCCACATGCTCCTCTCCGTCTGTACAAAATGTAGTAGACACTCTTACTTCAACTAATGATCGGTCCCACTGGATACAATAGAATTTTAAAGTTGAGTAGGAAGTTATAAATATGACAAACCAAGAAATGAAATCTGAACATGTGCTTTTGTGTACTATATTTTACAGAAAGTTGCATATTGATCACATTGAAGTATATGCAATTGCAGAGTGAGTTAAGGGGAAACTAATTCAGCATTGTTGGAACTAAGTGATGTGCTTGCTGTGTTTTTCATATGCAATAATTTGTGCCATAAAATGATGGAAAATAAAGGAAAAGGTGCCATTAGGATTGATCATGTCTTTTTCAAACCTTTAGGTTTGAAATTGATTCTTTTTCTTTTCTTTTTATTATTTTTTACTTTCTTGGCTTTTCTTGTGTGATTTCTCATTTTTTCTGCTGAGTTTTTGTCCTAGATTACATCAGACCATAACAAATACTTTAGTATTAAAGTCCACTGAGAATGTTGTGCATTATTGTAATTTCTTTGAAAACAGTGGAAATAAAGCACATAGTAAATAATGGTTGCACAATGACCAGTGCCAACTGGTCAGATCGGTTGGTCTCTTTCTGTCAGAAGTACTCATTGCAAGCCCCTTTCAGTACCACTCAGTTTATCCTGGCAGTTTCAGATACGGGTTAATCGAAGTAAGGTTAATCTACTTGCATGTTAACCAAAAATGGGCAAGACCAGGAGCAGCCACTGAGAAGCTTATTTTCTATAATTTTGCTGTAGACTTTCACAGAAAATAATTTTCCAATATCTTTTTCAACCACTCTGCTTCAAGGATATGAAAAGCTGTAGCATAGAATTAAAAGCTTCGCACAGCAAAAGGCACAGCATGTGGCAAACATGACAGCATGCACATTTAAAAGTTTTGGTGACTGAAGAGCTGAAAAGTGTCCCAAAATTGTCTTTTGGGAGAAGGAAGCCATATTATAAGGAGTTCTCTTGCTGAGCAGGCAGTTTTCGATAAGCAAGCAGGTTACATGAGACTAAAACATATATAGGTTACTGAACTGATAGCTCATACTATGATATGGTTTTTAATTCAACTGTTCTTATCTTTAACGAGGTCTCTTAGGTCTCCATTGTTGATGATGATTTCCCATCTCTCCCTGCCCTTTCCTAAAATGTGAAAGTATTGTCTTAAGAATTCACAAGAATGCACATCATTGACTTGCTTATCAAAGAAGGCAATGTCTATGTGTTCAAAATCCTCTTTGATCCATTTCCAGACCCCATGCAGTCCCTACAGCTGTGTAAGCCAGAAAAGAATGCAGGAGATGGATTATAATGAGAGACAGGCTCTCTGGTATTCAACCAAGCTGCCTCTTTCTGTAACCCACAAAACTGTTTGTTGTGGTAGTGCTAGATCAGGAGAAAGCATTCTTTGAAACATGTAGCAGTGTTGGTGGTGTCATTTACAGACTAATACATGCAATGGCCCTCTGTCTCGCAGAGTTGAATGATCCTATATAACTTAAATGCAGGATTGTAAATTGTCATTGAATGTTACTGCAAGTTAGGTGCTCTTTTT